TTTTTTTTTTTTACTAGTTCACTCTCTCAAGAGGTTATTTAGTTCCAAAAAAATTCACTCTCAAGTAATCTGAAGTTACTGAAATCTTCAGTGTAACAGCCACAGAGTTAAAAGAAAACATAGCTCACCTACACCTTTGACATTCTTGGGTCAGATTAGCTTGGTCTCGGTCATTTTGCTTTCAGCTACCATAACAAGTCTTGAAAGCAGAACAGTAACTAAGAGCAAGTTTCCTTGTAGCACAAAGACTACTAATCCAATATCACAAGATTAACTTTGGGGTTCAAAATCCCTCACTTTCATCAAGAAAAATCTACCTTGCAGAGCTATAATATAGACCAGCTATAACAAGGTATGGGGTAGAAGAGGTATAGTTAAAAATCCAATTTTAACATATTAGTCAGATGCAGCATATAGTTTTACGATTGCACTGACACCCAACACTAGCCTTCTCTAATGTTTCAGTCCAGGGCATACACGTAGAATTGTGTTTGATGTTCCAGGAAATATTTAATTATTAGCTACTTTGTTACCACAGCTGTCGGCAGTTTCAGATGTGATTATGAAGCATTTTGAGGTTACATGATCAAAATATAAGGTATTTCCCCAAAGAGCAAGATCAGCAAGTTATAGGACCATGAGTTTCAGAGACATTAGTACTTATTTCTGGGAAGTCAGTAAGCCAGCTCTACTTCAGCAGCACTGTGGTTGGCATTGTAGGTTCATACCTAGCCCCGCTTCACTAGAGGGGATCTTGCCAAAAGCAGCAAAGTTCAGCATTATCCCTCAAATCTAATTCAGCCCATCCATGTTACCAATAGTGGAAATGGAGCATTTCCCAGGAAGCCTACCAGCACAAAAACCAAGGCCTCAATCCACACACCAGTCAGGAACTCCCCTTAAAGCCTTAGTCCTGAACCCTTGCTGAGACAGCTACTCACTACCATCAGATTTTTCTCCTGTTACCTCACAATACCTAGAAGCAGCAAATCACTTTTGAACAGTCTGCCAAAAACACAGCCCTATAGAGGATGGCAACACACACCTGAAGATCCTACACAGGTTTCAAAATCAGTTCTGAGAAGCCCTAAGATAAACAGGAAAAATGTTTGGAAGATTGTTTAATCACACTTCCCTTACTGTTAAGGAAAAGTGGGGGACAAGCTGTAGACACTAAACTACAAAGTTATTAGGCCAAACACAAGCCTCGTCACTAAAGGATTAGCACAAAGCATTTGTGTCAAAGGCCAGATTTGACACTGCTGTCAGGAGAACCTAATCCAGAAGGTGACTGACATGTAATCTTGTCAACAGGCTATTTGTGAGGAGTGCATTTCTAGACCCTGCAGTGCCAGGAGGAAGACTTCCCACACTCCTCATGATCCTACATTGTATTATGAAGAAAATTTTATACCTCATGGTTCAGATACCCATGCTAGAGAGGAGTGAGTGGCTTCTGTAAACCAATTCTACATGCTAAGAAACAATAGAAGAACACAAAGAGCTTTATTATCAATAAAAATGTCAGTGTACCCTGCTTGAGAGCTTAACTGTGCTGAAGTGAACCTACCCAGCTTACTCTCACCTGAGAGTACACCTTTATCATGAAAGCCAACTGCTCACTGGATTCAACTACAATTTCAGAAATGAAGATATTTAAGAGGGTACAAGCCAACTTCCGCAGTTCTCATGAAATCAGCTTTACCTACTGAATAAGCAATATTGGTGCAAAGAATTATATAGCCAGGTTCCAACACAAGAAGGAAAACCTACTGCTGAACTGCTCCATTTCACCTCAGAAGCAATTTAAAACACATTTTTCTTTACCACTTGCTAGATAATACTCCAATGCAGAATAACCTACTGAATATTCCTATCTGAGAAGGAGAAAAGATACCCCACCAACACTGTTGGTGATAAGGAAGTTAATTCAGTATGACACTGGAAGACATTTAAACCCGAAAGTGAACTAGAACTAAGTTCTGAACAGGACTCAGTTATTGCAATGATCTCAAAATACCCTTTGCAGGGTACATTAGGCAGAATGCTAAACCCTATTATCCACATGCATAACAACAAGGGTACTACAGTGAGATAAGGCATCTCAGACAGAAGCTTAAGATATTAAGCCCCCCTTCCTAACCCTATAAAAATATACGAGTTATTTGCTACTAGCCAAATCTTTAATATTTAACTAATTGCTAGCACAGCATTATCATTTTCCAAGAATTCTGTTTACTTTAGCACTGGTATGAATGCCAAGTCTCTTCATGCTTCAAAAAACACTACAAAGATGATAGTTAACTGTTAAGTTCACAACTGTAGATTATTATGGATCTAAACCTCATTTTTCTACAAACACCTTTTCCTCATTCAAAATACCTGACTACACAACCTTTTAGTGGCTAACACACCTTATACATGCAAAAACTCCCTTTGACAGCTGAGGAGGTGCCTTCAGCTGGAACATCGGGTCCATCTACTATGACACCAACAGTGGCCAAGAGCCAAACGTGCTTCAGGAACCGCCACCCAATTTCAACCACGTAGTATTGAAAAAGTTACTGTTACCGTGCAGAGCTATGGCTTCACGGAAGGGCTGCAAATCAGTCTCTACAGAGGAGCTAGTTTCTGTTGAAGTAGCTCGGTTAGGGGATACTACAGTCAGTCTTGGGGGAGCTCTAGAATTTCTTGGAGGAGGAACTTTTCCACACAGGAAGCTGATCAAGTCTTCCCTATGAATAGTTCTTCTGCGTTTTTTAACCCAGGCTAACACATCCTTATTCCGACGCTGATAGCCAATCTGAATTCCTACATCAAAGCTTCGCTGGTGGGCATCCACACTTTCTGCAAAGAGACAGAAAAAGGTTCTTAGTGTTACAGACAACGTACAGTATGGCAAAACACTGATGCTGTTTCCTCTCAGCCATGGGCAAGAAGTACATCTTCTACAGGTTACTGTGGCACAGCACCAATTCTTATACCACAGCTGTGAGAAATCAGCTAGCATTGAAGACTATTCATACCAAACCTAAAGAGTACTCAGCTGTGAAGTTCCAACCCCTTTGCAAATCAAAGTCAACAGCAAACTCAAGCACCACCTAAACAGCATTTACTGTATTTCAGGTCAACACTACAGGAACATTTACGAAGCCATATCATATTAAACACTGAGCTTGTCAGCCTGAGGAAGGTACTTAAAAAAAGCCACACTTTGAGACACATCAGTACAGTCAGGAAACCCTACCTAAAAATAAAACAACTGCTTTTCTTGATTCTGATAGGTAAGGAATTTTCAGAACATTCATTTCTTTAGAATCCCTCTAGCATCATCTGAATTTCAGTGGAAGAGGCAATTCTCAGGAGATCACAGCTCTGAAACTAGTTAGAACACAAGCGTCCCCAATGCCTTTCAATAAGGCAACATACCATTTACAAAGGTAGTCTAAGAAACTTAGTTTCCTTCCCCATTTAAGATCTCACTGTAAATTTGATACACAAAAGGTTTAAGAACATGATTTGCAATGAATCCTACTACAAAACTCAATTTCGTTTTCCACTGATGTAACTAGTCACCTGTGCACATCAGTTCTAACTGCCTCCAAGCAGCATTCTTCAATGTCTTTTGTCATATTGCTCTCAAACTTCAGCAAGCACAATCCTGGCTGCTAGTCTGAGTAAGTTTCAGCAGTAACAGGTGGGACAAACCATAATCTCCACACAGTTATGCTTATCTTATTTGTCAGATTTGCTATCAGTGCTTTGCCAACAGCTCTTTCAGTTTTACGAAAATGAATGCTATGTTAGCTCTTGCTCCTTTAGAGGACATCAACATAACCACTCTGGATTTCATTTACTTGATTTCCATAGATATTTTTTTAAATCTGGAACAGCTGATTAACAGCTTTTTATATTCTTGCTTTACTAATGCAGTCCAACATCTCATTTGCCCAGAACAACATTAAGACATTTAAAAACAGCTGTCCAAGATATTGGTTTACAGGTAAACAGCAACATACACACCTAATCCAGTAAAAAAAAAAAATCACTATTAAATGCAACTCTTAGGCTAGCACCACCACATGGTCCACAAAAGACAACATTAAAATCTAAACTATCAAACAGCAGCACTCCAAACAACCCACCAAAAAAAAAAAACCATTTCGAACTGATCATATTTAAATCTTTGGGCTTTTAGAATATAAGGTATACAGAGTACACTTTAACACATTACTCTTGGTGCATAGAGGTATTTTGCCTATGCTGCTTTGTAATCAAAAGGCTAGAAGGTTTACAAATGCTAACTCCTGTGAAAGCAATGGCAACATGACAGATTATTCCTCCAACTATTTTCTACTCCACAGCAGCTCAGGCTCTAGTGCGCTCACAGTAAAAGTTACCCAAACACTTCGAAACTCATCTGGAAACCAACAGTGTTCCTTTAATCACTTCCTGAAACACCATGAGAAAGTCTTTAAGAGGTGAGGAGCCCAGCTTTATGTCAGTAACCTGCTTAAAGTCCTTGTCTACAAGAACACTTTACAAAGTGTTCAAGTTTACAGAACTGAACTCCTTAAGAGGTCAACCACACTGACTGCTGATGTAACCTGGACAAATTTCAAGCATCATTACCCTGGGAAAAGTTAGATTTTTATGGTAAAAGATACAACTACTTTGTTTACAAAGTTAACTGCTTAAATTTTGACAGCTTAAGTTGCATACATTCTGAAATTACTAAATCAAAGCTAACATTAGCCAAGATTCAGCTTTTCTTAAATAAAAATAAGGTTAATTGTAAGCTGACATTTCAATCCAAACACTTATCAGATCATAAACCAGTTGATATTTGGTTTACCACACCAAACACTTCTCCAGTGTTTTGTCAGAATCCTCCAAAATAAAAATATTACCTAGTATGTGAGAAACAGGAGATTTTTAGCAAGTCATGTCCACCACAAGGTAAGGCAAATTCACATTAAGAGACTCCAACTTGCCTGGTATGACAGTGTCTAGCTGGTTCTGTGTTCTCAACAAATTCCTACCCACTTCAAAGTTAATTTAAAGCTAAAAGATAGCAATTCTGAGTGACCAAGATACTTCAGCACTTAAAAATCTATTTGAAGGAAATACTTGTTTCAGGTGCTGCTTTTTCAAGTATCACACTACACCCAATTACAGACAAGCTTCCTACTCAAATTCTACTGTCCCAGATCACCACATACACCCTCTTCTGTTAATCACATTATTGCAGAAAAATAGGGCTCATTTTGCTTGCAGCAAAAGCAATCAAATGGTTCAACCAAAAGTAAACAGCTTAAGTCTTTGTAGTGAAGATGCTGTAAGGGAGCACAATGACATTGTTAAAAACCCTAGGATTATTCCAGACAACTCATTAACACTACCTGCTCCTACCCCAGCACCACACTCAAGTGACTAGTGTCCCAGACCACGTTCTAGTGACCCACTCCCCCAGGCCAACACTTACCCTGTCAGGTGATGTGCTGCCCCCTAATGTGACCTATGACACACACAACATCCAAATGCACTTTCTGCAAGAGTCAAGTCTCTGGCAGTGAGTACTATGCCTCTACAGTTCCTCTTTGCTCTGTCCACATCCATCAGAACACAGATCAGCCATCACAAACATGTTACTGCATTCAGCCACTTAAAGCAACTCCAGAGACAACACAGAACATACAGGTAGGGCTACAGATAATGCTGCACAGACCAAGAAAAAACTATTCCACAACTCAAAAAAAAAACCCAAAGTACAAGTCAGAAAAACAACAGTTGGCAACTAGAGTTTTTTCCTTCCTGGGAATGAAGGACAGCAACAGCGGCAATCACACTACTTCAGATTAAGCCCCCACTGATACAGGGATCATTTTAATACCATCTTTTAATCAAACTAGAAACCACTGAGTAATTCTTGTGACAAAGAGTCAGAGTTCAGAAACACACCATAAAACAGCACAAAAGCAGAGTCATGTGCAGAGTGCACTCTTACCAAAGTTTTGGGTAACACTGCCTTCTTGGAGCCACCCTGGACACAATCATAATGACATTCTAGTGCTTAAAGTAAACTGGGAGGCTTACTTAAGCCTCCCTGTCATAAGAGACTGACTTCTTTGTCACAAAAGATCTACAGAGTTTTACAGACACTTAAACTCGATCTGTGCTTCACTGCAAACGTGTGTTCTACTGATATCCCAGCATCTCACACCCCATGAAATATATAGAACCCAGTAAGTATAAGTAGTTTATAAGCTGTTGCATTTCTCCCTTGAATTCATGAGAGCAAGCCACATGTTTAAAACACGCTTTTTCAAGGGTCCCAAAGTAAAACAGCTTACAAGTTATTAGTCACTGACATGAGGCAACAGAAAAAAAATCAGCTACCATCAGCTAAAGCGGCCCAGGGAAACTTGCGAGATTCAGGAAGCAGTCTCGGTTAGATTTTATCAGGGTGAATAAGAGACATTAACAGGCCCTGCTTATGAGTAAGCCGAGGCAGGAGGCAGACAGGGCCCGGCGCGGCGTGAGGGGCCGCGGGTTGGGG